ACATGAGTCAAACTTATGATCGTATTGGAACAAATCAATTATTAACAGATCCAAAATTTTGGCAACGTGTTCGCGGTGAAAAAATCCTTCTTTTTCAAATCGATTCAGTTATGTGTTCGAATTCACCACATAAAATTACTGATTTTCTTCAATATGACTATGTTGGTGGTCCATGGGAGTCATCTTGGTTTATATTTAGTAAAGTAGATTTTGTCGGTAATGGTGGATTCTCATTAAGAACTCGTAGTAAGATACTTGCTTTACTTGCACTTCATCCATATGATAATAAGGTACCAGAAGATGTTTGGTATTCGCAAAATTTACGTCGAGTAAATGCATCAATTGCTCCAGTACATGTAGCTAAAACATTTTCAGTTGACACAGTATTTTATGAAAGACCATTAGCTGTACATCGGTTTGCGTTGCGATGTAGGACCCGTGAAAAATTATTTGAAACATGTCCAGAAGCAATGATGGTCTTGAGTGGGCCATGCCAATAAATAATAGATGATCTTAATAAAAAAAAAGAACTGTGAATATAGATTTATTTTTCAAATTACATTTTTATTTTGTGTAGTGTCGTTTTTTTTTATCAACTTTTCAAATAAAAAGTGAATTAAAGTAAACGTCTTATGTATATGATAACTATTTATTTTTTTAGGATACATAAATTTTTAACTATTGAAGCAGACAAAAATTGTAGAGAATGCTTCTATACAGTCAGAAACACAGCTTTTCAAATTTTCATACGTGTGTGGTAAGAAATAATCGTGTAAGCATAAAAAAGATCTTTACTGTAATCATGTAAACGAGCACAGCTATTATTGGAGCATTGTTCTTCGTCATATATAGATGCGAAACATTCGTCTTCTTAGCTTTTTGATGTTCACTTTGGTTCATACGAACGCAAAGACTCCAAAATTTTAAGTTCGATACTTGTTGTAACAAAAATTTTATTACAGTGATTGGCAAATTCATTAGATATGATAGTCAAAAAAGGTCTATCACTTTCAAATATGCTTTCATAACAAAACAAGTTGCTTATTTATTAGCAGTAAATGATTGAAGTAGTCCCTATTATGTTCAATATGAAGTTGCTTTCTCTAAATCGAATTTGTGATAGCTCTTTAAGTATTCGTGAATAGATATCGAATTGACCCTTCCAAGCGTTGCTTTACCTAAATTTGTAGCATGTGGATATGCATCAAGGCTACATTTCAGACAACAGAAAAACCACATGTCTGAACGAGCAAAGTCAAGCATACATATTGAATTAATGATGATTTCGATGTTTTCTCTTGAAGATAATTAAGATTAAGAACAATATCATGTCTATGTGATTTTGTATTTTGGTAATGCAAACTTATGGTACATATTGTTAAAGATATTTTAATATGCAAATTTTTGATTTAATATATTCAAGTATTCATCAAATTAGTTTATATAAAAACTATATCTTAAATGGTAATAATATCGTAAATACCAATATGTGGATCAGCGCTCACTAGATTTCTAATAAAGTCAACGTTTTCTTAAGTAATGGTAGTAATTGGACAATTAATGTATGAGAAAACGTTCTCAGCAAATTTTCCGAGTGACAAATCTTGGCAGTCACGTAAGCAACTTCCACAAATGGATAGTGACTTGAAAGACTACTTCAAAGCATATTTATTGGGCAAAAATGAAGGTTCTAGCTTAAGAAATGAACAAGATATAAATGTGTGAATATCATTAAAAAGAAGAAGGAGAAGAAGAAGAATATCCTTGCCTTTCGGCTACTTTTCAGTATAGGATGCTGTCCAATGACAGTTTCGTAAGCTCTATATTTTCCTACAACTATTACTAGCTGCAGCTGTGGTCAGAGGGCCAGTCTGATTCAGAGTTCCTCCCGCTTAATCACTTAAGCTCCCCGTGCATACTGACTAACCACATACAAGCGACAAGGGCTTTTTGTGTATGTTACACGTAGTCAGCGTGCTATCGGATGGGTGGTTCGAGACAAACAGTCGTTAGTAACTTGTCCAAGGTTATTCTATGTTTGTTGGCGCCGCGGTTTGAACCCGCTTTTGGCAGATATGTGTCGGACATCTTAACTATTTTGCGATAGCGGCTTGAATATCATTAAACGCTTCTCACAAATGTTTTTGTTACATATATAAAAATAGAAATGAAAAAAAAAAGCAAAACTGAAAGCTTGAACATTAGTGAACTTTATGTTGTGAACTTGACGAGAGAAGTAGTCATGTGATAGTGATACTCACTTCATTCTGCTTCTTCATACAAGAAATTGTCTAGTTTACCAAGGCCACACATTTATAATACAAGATGAAAGCAATCTGATTTATGTTAACAGTATTCAACATTAAACAATTATTTTTTTACTACTAACAGCACATGTAACAAACCTCCGTTATTGACTCTCTCTTACTTCTTGAGTTATAATCTTCATTTTTTAGAGAATAGGTACACTTTTAACATTTCCAGATGCTCTTGCAAATTACTATTTGTTTGTTGAAATTGCTCAAGTAGTTACAAAGACATATTGATAGGAAAATTCTTGAATACTTTTTTTCCCATACTTTCCTTCAAGAATCATCTTCCAATAACTATCATATACTTTAAAATCAATGAGCCCAATAAACAACTGTACGATGTAAAACAATACATTATTTATACGCAGTACTTGAGTTATAATAGGTTTATGGATCAGTTGAACCTAATAAGAATCGAGTTTTCTTCTATGAGTTTCTGTACTGTTGTCACATCTGAAAACAAAGTTGACCAAAATAAATCTACTAAGAATTTTACCTTAAAACACATTAGTGAAAATTCGTATTAGTGTTTTTAATACGTAAGATATGTTGCTACTACAATAAGCCAACATAAGGAAGAAAAGATTGCAGATGCAATTTTAGACAGCCGTTGGGAGAGTCCTAAGACATCAATCTATAATCGTGTTGGGAGTCTTGTCAAGCAACCTTTTTGCATGTTTCTTAGCAATGTTATGTGTCTATCATTTAATTAGTCACTAGAATAAATGACATAGTCACTAAGTCAAATAATGAGGTTTATCAATATATAAAAGAATCATCAGATTAAATAAAAAGCCACTATAAAAATCGAAACGTGTTATAGTATGATTCGCTTTTCCTCTTCTTTGTTTTTATCACTTTGGAATGTCGCACAGATAACAGATACAACATATAGAATGTGTTCCAATTAGAACAATGTTTTTGTATTCTCATATTCCCTCTTCAATATCTCTATGAAACACTGAGGAAATAAGCTGAAATTTTATGACCGCATTGGCACATATCTTGTCTTTCGGTTGGTGAAAAGATTTTCTAAAGGGGTTGTGAAACGATCGAGTTTCGAGTAGTAGAATAAGGTTGCTTGATTACATTTTACATATGTGCAATGCCTCCAATAACAGCACAAATGCAAAAGTTGTATAGAATTAGAATGTACCAGTGTAAAGCTATGCAAGAACAAACAACATTCAAAATCATGCCATATATCTGTTTAGAAACTTGAAAATTGAGCCAAATGTTCTCTAGAGAACTTATTTCTTACACTTTTCTCTATCATTCCAGACAAACTCTAAATTAGCATGGACCTAGATAAAATGCATGTGAATAATATTATCGTATGTAGTTTCATATTCATCTGCTACCCAATCTGAAACTGATGCCTTAATTCTAGAATAAAAGTTGTTCACTTCATTTTTTTCTCTAATATATCAGCAGTTTAGTCCAATTTGACACTTCTCCCTGTATACAAAGCGTACCATTTATTTCACCAAAGTTAATGAATTTATATGAGTTGAATCCAGTTGCTTTTACATGGATCACTTTTATACTTTGATGTAACATTCACGCCTTTCAGTGTTCGATATATGTCAAATATGTGTTATCCGATCGAAGTTGAAATATTCATGCCGCGCGCTAAATCGATCCAAGCGGACCTCTGCCATACATATCGACCAATTTTCGTTTTCTTTTTTGAGAAAATGAATTTCTTAATCCTTTTTTTTTTCTTCTTTTATGTTATAGTTGAAGATGAAGGATGCATCTTTGACCTTTGCTTGTTTCTAGTATGTCTTCGATATTCTACAGTTGATACAGCCACTTTATATAATAGAATTTTCTCCTGAGTCTTTCTTCTCTTATATATACAATCTGACATCTCTGTTTCGGCATGGATGAGACAGTGCACTCGCTATGCATCTGTCTTATGCCAATAAAGAAAAGTTCGTGATATGGAAAATAAGAGCGTGTGATACATAACTTCTTGTTCTAATAAACTTCATGACGCTTTCGGTTGGAACTCATAGATAGGGGTGGGAAGTTACCGTTACCAGACCGTTCCGTTCCCGGTTAACGGTAACGGAAAAGTTACCAGTTACCCGGGAACGGGGTAACGGAAAATGCTCTCCTTCCTATTTTCTTTATGAAAATGGTTTTTGAAAAAAATCTTTTGGTAAACAAATTTTTTTAGTAAACAAAATTTTTTACAACAAAATTTTCGGGTGTTTTCGAAAAAAATTATTTTTCCCCAAAAGTCTATTTCTGCATTAAAAAAAAAATTTTTTTCAAAAATCATTTTCATAGGGAAAACAGGAAGGAGAGCATTTTCCGTTACCTCGTTCTCAGGTAACTGGTAACGGGCCGCTACCGTTCCCGGGTAACTGGTAACGGAAAAGTTACCGTTACCCGGGAACGTAACGGGAACTTCCCACCCCTACTATACAGTTTCTTACATTCAAATTTGAGTTTGTTTTTAGCTCTTCACAGTTTTATTGGTGTTTTGTCTTTGCCTTTGCCCATTTTATTCAATTTCTTTTGAATTTAATATGATTTCTATTTTAGTTTTAGTGATTGTTTCTTTTGATTTTATTTTAAACTTGATTGCCTTCAATTTTTGCTCATGAATTGTAATGCAGAGCCCTGATGAAAATTTTATTATATCAATAAAATAAACACGAAACGCGTGGGCGAAATTAAACTCTGCATTTCTATTTATTTAACTTTGAAATTAATTGCGTCTCAGTCGGTTGCTGAAAAGCAAGAGTTGGGATTAGCAGAATGATTTGTATCAACAAGATATAGAATCGGTCTGCTTTTCATTGATTTACGTAGGTTCTAGTCAGATCTCTCATCCTCAGATATATATTATATAAACATGAAATACTTTTCTGTGTTCATCGGAATGGATTCTAATGCGAAAGGTGTATAGTGATTAACCCTTTATGTACCATGACTCAGCGAATGAATGAAATTTCTTTGAGATTTTATATTTAACATTCCCAGTGTGTATTGTGAATATTTTCATCAAAACTTTTAAAAAATCTTTAAAGTCATTTTCGACCCATCCCCGTAGGGGGGTACGGCCGTGGTCAAAACTCGACTGAGAGATATTGCAAAATCAACCTTTGGAATATTATAAGGAGGCACTCCTAACTTGATTCCAACTTGGAAAAGCAAAATATTTTAGGGGCCCG